ATTCCCCTTGCCCTGTCACAAGCAGGGAAGACCAGGAGGTTGTTTCCCTCTGGGTGGTCATCAGAAACCCAGGTGGCTCATGCCTGTGTGGGATCCTAAGCAGGTTTCCCTGCTCTCCAATGTGTCAGAGATCAAGGAATCTCAGTGCAGGGGGTGGACACTGGGAGCCTACATGGCCACTAAATCCCTCTTAACAAGCATCACTTTTCATTTCACTTTTAGCAAAAAAAATCACATTTCATTTTTAGCTGATTTTCCCCCTCTTCACTCAGCCAGAGGAGCAGGGAGGTAAAAGCAGGAGATAACTGAGCATCTTCCCCTCGGGAGCCCTCATTATCCCAGGAGGCCTCCACTGCCTCGGGGAATCAATTAAACGGACTGGAGATGGGATACCCGGCACTTCACAGGATCAAAACCCAGAGAGACACACGAGGCAATTTCCCTCCTGTCACTGACATGCAAATCATTCCTGCAGCAGCTCCTGGGTTTAATATATCTCCAGATTGCCTGGCGTGGAGTCCCATTAGCTGGGTCTATGTGGCACTTGGTCCAAAATGACTCTGGGAGAATCAGCATTTCCACCTCAGCCTCAAGGACAGGCAGGAGATGAGTGTGCAGCCACTTGGCTCATCCCTCTCTCAGGTTCCCTCTGAGGGCAGGACTCCCACAGAGTTTGGGATTCTGAGTAAAACAGCTGAGAAATCCATAGTGAGGGACTGAGATCCCCGAGAAACGTCCTCATCAACCCTGGGAACATCCACAACTGTGCCTTTCTCCAGCCCTCAACTTCCACATGGATGAGGAAGGAAAGCCAGCAAGGGCAGGATGTACCATGAGAAACCGTGCTCTTTCCCACAGAATATGCTGGTTTTTTCCAAGATTTTCTAGGTTTGCTCCCCATTCTCCACATCTCCCAGCATCGTGACTGAAAACTCATCACTAACTTAGATATTACAAATAAATTCTCCCCTGTGAGGGTGGTGAGGCCCTGGCACAGGTTGCCCAGAGAAGCTGTGGCTGCCCCATCCCTGGAAGTGTCCAAGGCCAGGCTGGATGGGGCTTGGAGCAACCTGGGATAGTGGAAGGTGTCCTTGCCCATGGCAGGGGTGGGATGAGATGAGCTTTAAGGTCCCCTCCAACCCAAACCACTCTGTGATTCTATGAAATTTAAGAAGAGGGAGGAATTCCAAGCACTGCCAGTTCCACCTCTGTCCCTGCCTGGGGACTCTCTGCTCCTTTGGAGTGTCCCACTGCCTTCCAGACCCTCACACCAGCAGCCACACATGGCTGACTGGAAAACCACTCTGACCACAAATGCAATAATGAAAGAGCTTTTCTCCCCCACAGATGGGACTCCTTATTCCCTTTTTCCCACTAAATCGCTTACCTCATTATACCCAGACCCTGCAGAGTGGCTTTGCTGGGGCCCTGCTGGTGCGATGTGAGAGCAGCTCTGTCCCAGCCCAGCACTGCTCTGAACGTCTTCCTTTTGTCCATTTATTCCCAGTGCCACAAACCAATCTGTCTGAGAAGCTGGTTCCTCATTATTCCTGAGGAGATCCAACAAAGCCCTGTGTTCCTCACCCTCCAGGAGCTTTGTTTGGAGCTCTCTGTTCCCTCTCTTTGTGTTTGCAGATGAGCTGTAAATGGCTCCCGTAGCCTTGAAGCCCCTCGTTTGCAGCCAGGAGCAACAACCATCAGGGCTCAATCCAGCTCCTGCTTTTGGCTTATCCTTCCCTTTTCTCTTTAATTAAAAATCCCTCTGGCCTTGCACTTGGATTTTGGGATGCGGTTTCCCGTTTCCTCACAAACGCCACAGCCAGGAATGTCAAATCTGTTTTTCACAACCTTGCTGTGACCTGGCTGAGCTTTTTCCAGGCAGTTCATCCCTTCCTTGTCCATCTGTTCATCCACTGAAATCCCACATTTAAATCCAGTTGCTTCTCCTGATGACAAGACCCTCCTACAGGCCAGGGGCCTTTCCCAAGGGATGTTCCATGGTCTCGGTTTAACCCAACAGCTCAAGGGCAAGACAATTCCCAAATGCAGGAAATAAAAGGAATGAAATCCAGGCAAGGGGAAACAAAAAAAAAACCCAGCATGGAAAAATTCCCAGGGATGCTGGGCCTGCAGCTCTCCACCTTCAGAGCCTCAGCTAAACCAGAGGCAGGAAAGGGAGAAATATCCTCCCTTTTGCAAAAAATTAATTCTTTTTTTCCCCTTTAACATGTGGCCCAGGAAAGCCAGAAAGAAACAACATTGATGTATCTGCCTTATCACACCTTCCAAATTTATGCCAGGGAAGATTATCCCGAGGATCAGCCCAACAGCCACAGCACAGGACAAGCTTTGGGAAGCAGTAGCTCCCGTGTCTGCTGTTCCATCTCGTCAGCACCAGATCCCAGGAACCTCCTGAGCACAGAAAGGCGATTTTTATCCCAGTACAAGCCGTTCCAGGAGGCAGCCAGAGCCTTACTCAACCTTCAAATATGTTTTCCGTGATCGGTGCCTCTAAAGGCAGAAGGTGGAAAGGTCCTGGAGAGGCTGCATCCCGCTGGGATGTTTCCATGGAGCAGGAGATGAGTCAGTGCCATCTGCTGGCTGTTCCAAAATCCACCGGATTTGGCGTCAGATATTGGGGATAAAACCCAGGCTCTTACACACTTTCTTCCCTCCGGAATGCTGCTTCCAATGCAAATTCCCCTTGGAGGTTCAGGCTCCAGATGGAATCCCTTTGGTGCATCCGTGTCCAACCACGTCAGGAATTCCCAGGGTGACCCAGTGGGACAATCCAGGCTGCAGATCCAGCATTTCACAGCCCTTCTCCTTCCTGCCATTGGGATCTCCCTTCCCTGTCCCTGACAAAATCAAAAATAACTCCCGTGTAGGATGTGCTGGCTATGGAATCCCTTGAGCTGGCCTGGATCCATGCTAAGAAAAGCTGTGGAAATGCCAGGGATTCACAGTGCCATCGGCATTCCCAAGGGATTGGCTTCTACCTCAGCCTGGACCATTCCAAGGGTACCAAAGAGGCATCAAAGCCAGGATGAGACACCAGGCACTCCTGGCTATCCCTGTTGTTCCCTTCTGTTGGATCAGATTTAATTGGGGAACAGATTCTAAATGTGTTTCTCCCCCTTTTTGACAGGAAAACACATCAACAGCTCCGTAATTATTCCATAATTGTGTTTAGGTGCCTGAGGAAAACACACAGCACTTCCTCTGGGAGCAAAGACAGATTTGCTCATCCTTGAAATGCTAATTATCCCCAAAGTTCCCTCCCAACACTTCCAGGCTCTGGCAGGCTCAGAATGGCTGGAATTGGCAGGAATTCAGTGCTTCAGGGATGGCCCTGGGCTCCATTTGCTGTGGAGATCTCAGAGCTGAGGTGCTGTCAGGCTGTTTTTGGGATGTTGGTTGAGCCGACTCCATCCAGCTGCTTTTGTCAGTCCTGGTAAAATCAGTGAACATCCGAGAGAGCCCCAACTCCCAGAGAGGGATCCTGCTTTTCTCACTGAAATCGACCATGGAAAGGAAGATTTCTCTGGAAAACTCCATGTGCAGAGGAAGCAGAATGGAGTAAGAGCACCATATGGATCAGGATGCTGTGCATGGGCAGCAGCCATGCTTTGGGACAGCATTCCCACCTCTGGGCTCTTACCTGAGCACTGGCAGAGTGTTCCTTGATTATTTGGACTCAAAGACAGCTTGTCCTCATAGTTGGAAGTGCACCAGGCAAAGAGACCATGGAAATAACATCTTCTGAAAGGTTTGGCTTCATGGAATCATGGAATATCCTGAGTTGGAAGGGACCCACAGGGATCATCCAGTCCAACTCCTGGCCCTGCCCAGGACACCACAACAATCCCACCCTGTCCCTGAGAAGCTGCAGACTCTGACGAGTCTCCCCTCAGCCTCCTCTGAAATACAGTTCAAATTGCCCCAATTTATTTCTGACAAACCAGGTTATTTTTCCCTGCTGGTGATGATTTGCTGTGTGAGCATCTGGTAGAAAACTGCCTTATTACTTCACTAGATGCCAAAATCTGGGGGAATTACCTGCAATTCCTTAAAATATTCTGTTTTCCTTCAGCTTGTGTCCAATGTCTCCCCATTCCTGGTCTCCAGTCTCTCCCTATTCATGGTCTCCAGGGCGTGTGGAGCACCAAGTTACGATGCTACTGACACTCTTAAGGTCAGAATTAAGGAGAATTTTTCCAGAAAGGCCTGGAATGGGTGACAACAATTCTGTATCCAGGAGAAAAAAGGCGTTTTTCCATGGAAACAAACATGGGAATAATCAGCGCTCCCCACGCGCCCGTCGCGTAGCAACGGGGACGCCTTGCCCTATTATGGCGAAAGTGCCCGCCCTCTCCCCAGCCTCCCTTTTTATTGGCTGCTCTGCACATGATTGACGTGCGCTCTCGCCAGTCCCCGCCCTCCACGAGCCTCTCCCGCGCCCGGGGTGCGGCGCCACCCGGAAGACGCTGCAGGAAGGGGAGGGGAGGAGCGTCCGCTGCGAGAGCCAATGGGAAGGGAACGAGGGGGCGACTCAGCCAATGGGAGAACGCGGGGGCGGTGCTTGTGTGGGCGGGGCCGCTGTACCGGGACCGGGCGCGGCGGGGGCGGCGGAGGTGACGGGGGGACAGGGGGGATATGGGGGGACCCCGGGCAGGGGAGGGAGGGGGATGGACCAGGGTCCCGGGCAGGGAGGACCCGCGGGGAATCTGAAGGGACCCGGTCGGGGCAGCAGCGGGTGTCCCGGGCAGGGAGGACCTGGGGGACCCCGGACGGGAGAGGGCTGAAGTGCCGGGTGGGACTGGGGGTCCCGGGCTTAGGGGAACCGGGGATGAGGGGGTTTAGGATGGGGAGGGAGCCCCGGGCGTGGGAGCGGTGCTGAAGGGGAACTGGGGGATGGGGGGACCTGGGAGTCTGCGGAGGGAGAGCTTTGGAGCCTCTGGCTTGGGGGGCCGGGGGAGATGGGAGAAGCTCCGTGATCCCTGCAGAGCCCAGAGCCCACCCTGCTCCCGGGCAGCCCTGTCTCCTCGTGCTGCTGCTGTCACAGTAACGCACGGAGGATTCCACATGGATTCGTGCTCCGCTGGGAACTGCCCTGACGTGCCGTGGGGTGGCAGGGAAAGGGATGGGGATTCCTGGGACAACCAACCCCCCCATAGCTGTGACAAGCCCCGAGCACGTGTGCTCACATCAACCCTTCCCGGTGGCACGGAGCGCTGGCTGAAGCCGTGTGTGTTCCCAGGTGGGAGCGGTGGGAAGGGAGATGCTCCCGGTGGCCGTACTGGAGGCAGGATGAACCTCGTGGCGATGGCGACGGATCCGGAGCTGCAGTGGGTGACCCTGTGGGTGCGGGTGCGCTGGGCGGCCGTGCTCGTGCTGCTCCTCAGCTCCCTGGTGATGCTGCTGCTCCCCCTCGCTGCCGTGGAGAACCAGTGCCATGCCCTGCTCAGGGGGATCTCCTTCCTGAGGAGCAAGCTGGGCCCCTCGGGAATGCCCAGGATCACGGGACAGAGCACGGAGCTGAGTGTCACCTCCCAGGGGCTGGAGCTGCTGGTGCTCAAGGGAAAGGCCTCCCCAGGTAAGGGGGTCCTGGGGGGTGCAGGGGGACAGAGGAGCTCCTCAGTACAAGGGAGACAAGGAGCTGCTGGAGAGTGTCCAGGGGAGGCCATAGCGATGAGGGGTTTGGAACATCTCTGTGGTGAGGAGAGACCGGGGAGCTGGGCCTGGTTAGTCTGGAGAAGAGAGGACTGAGAGGGGATCCCATCAGTCCATACAAATATCTCCAAGGGATGTCAGAGGATGTGCCCGACTGTGTTCAGTGGTGCCAGTGACAGGATGAGGAGCAATGGCCATAAACTAAAACACGAATTCCACCTCAACATGAGGAAGAACTCCTTTCCATGGAGGTGGCAGAGCCCTGGAACAGCTGTCCAGGGAGGGTGTGAAGTCTCCCTCTCTGGAGACATTCCAAACCCACCTGGACATGTCCCCGTGTCACCTGCTCCAGGTGACTCGGCCTGGGCTGGGGGGTTGGACTGGATGATCTCCAGAGGTCCCTTCCCACCCCAGCTATTCTGTGAGTTGTATAAAACAATCCCAACGTGGAGATCTCATCACCTACCTGGCCTTCTCCTGGAGCCCATGATGGGAGTGACACCAGCCCATGATGGTAAGGAGCTCCTACTGCCACCTGCAGTGAACACCAGCTGGAAATGCCCCCAAGGTGGAGCAGGCCCTCAGCAGCTCCTCGACTGCATTCCAGGGCCCTGTGCCAGCGTTCCCTCCTCGCCACTCTGTCTCTCTGAGGTTTTTCCTCATGTTTTCAGTACTAGTAAGTCCTGTGGAGGTAACCAGAACACAGAGAGGTGTTTTAATACACAGGAATCTGGGATATACAGCGTTAATCCTGAAATCCTGGCTGGCATGAAACAGCCTTTTAGGCAACAACTGGCTGCGGTCATGGCCTTTATCAGCCAGGATGTTAATTTGGAATACACGCAAAGGAATTATGATTCCAGCACTTTATCTTTGTTTGTATTAAAGCTCTTACTGCTGGGAAAATGTTAGATAGTTCAGTGAAGAAACAGAAGTGCTGGTAGCAGCCAACACAACAATGTGTTAGAATTTCACCTAAAATAATGCCAAGAGGAATGTATTTGGCACATCGTGTCCTCCCACATGAAGCAGTTTGGTGGCCAAAGTGAGTTTGGCTGGGATGGCTACACACCTTTGGCCACCTTGAGCCAGCTGCTCACAGGTCCTGCCTCACCACGTTTCCTGACAGGAATGGCTCTGCTGCCTCATGCTCGGCCTGGAAACGTGGCATAAACCTCTGTGATTGTAGCCTGGCAAAGACTGGAACACAAGTTCTGTTCCAGTTCTTAGAGGCTGGTTTTGTTTAACTTTTATATCAGTGAAGAGTGATGGTCATAGAATCATGGAATATCCTGAGTTGGAAGGGACCCGCAAGGATGATGGAGTCCAGATCTCTAGAAGTTTTCAGTCCAGATCAGTTTTCAGTCAAACCCACCACCCTGTTCTCTAACCATTTTTGTTGCGTTCCAGAAGTGAAGTTGGAAGCCAGGGCAGCTCTGAACCAAGCCCTGGAGATGAAGCGCCAGGGGAAGCGGGAGAAGGCCCACAAGCTCTTCCTGTATGCCCTCAAAATGGACCCGGATTACGTGGACGCCCTGAACGAGTTTGGGATCTTTTCCGAAGAGGAGAAAGACATCCTCCAGGCCGACTACCTGTACTCCAAGGCCCTGACCATCTCCCCCCACAACGAGAAGGCCCTGAGCAACCGGGGCCGGACGCTGCCGCTGGTGGAGGAGATCGACCAGAGGTACTTCAGCATCATCGACAGCAAGGTGAAGAAGGTGATGGCCATCCCCAAGGGCAACTCCGCCCTGCGCCGCGTCATGGAGGAGTCCTACTACCACCACATCTACCACACGGTGGCCATCGAGGGAAACACGCTGACACTCTCTGAGATCCGGCACATCATCGAGACCAGGTACGCGGTGCCGGGGAAGAGCCTGGTGGAGCAGAACGAGGTGATCGGGATGCACGCGGCCCTCAAGTACGTCAACACCACGCTGGTGTCGCGGATCGGCTCCGTCACCATCGCCGACATCCTGGAGATCCACCGGCGTGTGCTGGGCTACGCCGACCCCGTGGAGGCCGGGCGGTTCCGCACCACGCAGGTCTTCGTGGGGCACCATATCCCGCCCCACCCGCGCGATGTGGAGAAGCAGATGCGGGAGCTGGTGCAGTGGATGAACTCGGAGGACGCCATGGGGCTGCACCCCGTGGAGTTCGCTGCCCTGGCCCACTACAAGCTGGTTTACATCCACCCCTTCGTGGACGGCAACGGCCGGACCTCGCGGCTGCTGATGAACCTGATCCTGATGCAGGCGGGGTACCCGCCCATCACCATCCGCAAGGAGCAGCGCGCGGAGTACTACCACGTCCTGGAGGTGGCCAACGAGGGCGACGTGAGGCCCTTCATCCGCTTCATCGCCAAGTGCACCGAGACCACCCTGGACATGCTGCTCATCGCCACCACCGAGTACTCCGTGGGCCTGCCTGAGGCAGAGGGAACCACTGCCGGGTGCGAACAGACCATCCCCGTCAAGACTTGACACTCAGGAGCCGGTGAACCCATGGGAGAGCAGAACTCCAAGCCACTCAGTGTTCCTGCTGGGAATAACTGGACAGGAGGTGTCACTCTTTAGCATTTCCTTTATTTAAAGTGTCTTACATTGGATTAAATTAATATAATTTATTTATATACGTTACGCCAAGATGGAATGTGACCTGTTGATGATGGCTGTGCACTAGAAGTTGCTTGTGCTACTGGAAGGAGATGGGGAGAGGTGGCAGAGAGGCTCAAAAAGATGAACTAGGATTTAATTTCTCCTTAAAGTTAAGCTTTGAGGAGCTGCTTCAATCACACCCCTTCACCCAGGCAGTTACTGCAATGTCTGACCTTGGCAAGGAGCTGCTTGGCAAAGTCTAAACTGAGTTATTTTTGTGTTACCTCATCCCTGTTGTTCAAAACCACCCCAAAACACATCCCTGGAGGAACAGCACTCTCCCAGCTGTGTCCATCAGACACTTTCCTGTCAGTCACACAGGTACTGAGCAGGAAGGAGGCTGAACTCCACTTCAAAGCCACCTCTCCCCTCCCGTTTCTGTAGCACTTTGCATGTTTACTTTCAGCTGCCTTTCCTGGGGCCAGTTTTGTACAAGTGGGAAGTATTCAGTGTAGGATTACAGGTGGTGGGAGTGGAACAGGAGGAGAAATGCTCTGACTTACTCACTGCAGGGGGAAGGACTCCCTGGTGCTCCCAGGCCTCACCTCAGCGAGCAGGAGCCCTGGGAAAGCACAACTGTCCTCAGACATTTCAGTTCAGGGTCTAAAGGAGCTTGTGGCTGCAAAGCTGTGGGCAGAAAAGGTTGTTAGACAGGAGACAGGAGCTGTGCCAGTTTGGTGAGAATGTGTGTAGAAAGTTTGCCAAAGCCTTCAGTTTCTTTAGTTTACATAAGGGAACTTTCACAATTAATCATTAGGTCACATTATTACTGCAATAAATGGGGCAAGAATCACTCGAGGCCTCTCTCTGCTGCAGTGGCAGTTGGAAACTGCTGAGTACCTGGAAACTGCTGAGCAGTTCAAAGAATCACTTTTATCTTTGTTTTTTTTTTAAGGTAAAAGTACCCCCAGAATAGCTCCCTCCCCCCAACTGCCAGGTGTGTAACAGCAGCATTGATCCCACCACCTCCAAGTTCAGAGAAATTCCATTTAAAATCCCCATTTAGGGTGCTGTTAAGCTTAACTCCTTTACAAAAGCTGTTAGTTAGACTGTCCCAAGCCAGGGTTAATTTTCTTCCCTTTTAACTCTCTCTTACCTGCCAGGGACTTAGGACACATTTTATACAAGCAAAAAGCAGGATGAGACTCGGAGTTCTCTGGTCACTGCTGTCTAGGAAAAGCAGACAATACCTGAGGAAGGGTGTTCTGTCCTTACAAAATGTGCTTATTTTTGTAGTGCAATCCGAGTATGAATAAAATCTGCACTTTAGAGCTCTGGGGGGGTGAAAAATGTTATTTTAGTAACAGATTAATAAACTATTTTAATATTAAAGTCTTTGTTTGGAATAGGTTGTTCTCAGAACACTTTGCTGCAGTGAATGAAGTGGCTGTGGAGGAGGAAGGCCCATGGTGCAGATCTTGGCTCCCTCAGCCCTGTGACATCATGACCAGACTCATCTTTTCAAAGTAAAGCCAAGTGAAATCAGCACAGAAAATAGTGTTTATTTGCAGCAGTGTTTGTGTGGTACAAGTGAACTTGGTACTGGGGTCCCCCCTCACATCCACCCCTGCATGTGGTGACTTCCAGAATAGGAGTTGACAAGCAGGAATATTTCTATCCAAGATCATCCTACATTCTTTGAAAGTCTGAGGTGATTATTGATTTCAGGATATTCAGAGCAGATGGAATGAGCTGCTTAAAGGTATGAGTGACACTATCTGAGCACACCTGAGGTGAGGTACATCACCTCTACCCAGCTGCCAGAGGATAAGTGCAATTCCAACACCCACATTTAAACAAAAGCAACAGTATGTATAGAAAACCTTTGAGAACTTGAGTTTAATAAACCAAGAAACGTCAGCTTGCACTTCACATTTGTACAAAACCGTACAGAAACCACCTGCAAAAGACACATGAGCTAGCTAACAAAACCAACCAAAAAATATGGTCCTCAGCAACAGCACGAACAACTTTATGGGAAACAAAAACTACCAGATCTAAAGATTAGTTCATGACACTTAAAAATAATCATCTGAATGTCTTTTACAAATACACCATATAAAAAACAGGTCAACTGGAACAGAACATGAACTGAATACATATATATGTATATCTGGGTATCTACATATACACACATATGTATAGAAACTCTCCCAATACTAAAATAGGCCATTGTGGTGAAGTTGGAGCATCTGCCATTGGACTCTGCATGGAAGGAGATGACTGTCCCTGCGTGCGTGGGGTTGGGTGGAAAATGGGCTTGTTGCCAGAGAGAATGTCTGCAGTCACAATCTGAGCTGACCAGTGGGGCTTGCCAAGGGTCTCACATTGCATCTCATTCGTTAATGAAAGAGAAATAGTTGGAAAGTACTCAAAAAAACTCCACATGGCATCCGAGCTGGACAGGAAATGTTGCCCCCCTCATTACCCTCAATATGAGGAATCATAGAACGCCATTTTACCAGAACAAAAGTATAACTCTTTGCTCTTTAGAGGAAAACTACCTGGATTTGTGCCATCCTACACTGATCCCATGAATGCAGCAGTCCAGAACAGTATTTCCATGATTGTGACAGGCTTTCTCTCCTTGCCAGCATAAGGACACAACATGGCTTCCATAAAGGCATTTCACATTGTACCAGACCTGCTGATTGCAGACTTTTTGCTCACTTTTTCAGTAGCATCTTGGCAAAATCAGCATTGGACATCTTTTTAGGCTCTGCAGGGGGCTCAGATGAAGTTGCTGGTGAGTTCTGGACCATCCCATTCTCAGCCTTGGCCATGGGGTTGCTCTGACGCTGTAACGCTCGGGGCATCATGGACAGCTGTGTCCTTCCCTTGCCTCGCCTAAAGGGCAAAAAAATCCCACTTAAACACACTCTTTTAACTTGGGGAAACAACAAAGACTTTGTTCATTATGAGGAACTCATTTAAATGTTATTCCTGTCATTTGCTTCAGGAATAAGCAGTGCAAAGGTTTCAATGGGTGGCTTTGAAACACAGACACGAGTTCTGGCAGACAACAACTGCCTGACAGCCCCTAGAAGTTGAAGCTCTGTTTATCCCCAGGGCACCTACAATACAGGAACACTCCAAAAAATGAAAGAGCAGCCTAAATGCTCACTCTGAGCAATGGCTGGTTCTCCAGAACGAGAGGATGTGGAGGTTATGAGGGATCAGGTGCCAACACTGGATCCAAGGCAGTGGCCAATGCCTGATACTCTCATCACTACAGACCTGTTTCTGTTGATAAAGAGGAAAAGTCTTTTCCTCATCAATCCAACAACCCACTTTTTTATGGTTCAGCACCTTTTAAACACTCTCTCATATTCATAAAACTCTATTATGGTTTGGGTTGGAAGGGGCCTTGAAGATCATCCAGTTCCACCCCCTGCCACGGGCAGGGACACCTTCCACTATCCCAGGTTGCTCCAAGTCCCATCTTTGAACACTTTCAGGGATGGGGCAGCCACAGCTTCCCTGGGCAACCTGTGCCAGGGCCTCACCACCCTCACAGGGAAGAATTCTTTCTTAATATCCCATCTAAACCTGCCCTCTGGCAGTGTGAAAACATTCCCCCTTGTCCTGTCAGTAGCTGCCTATATAAAAAGTCCCTCTTCCTCCTTTTTCTAAGCCCCCTTAAGGTACACATTCCAGATGAGATTCCTAAATTTTAGTGTACAAGAAACCCAGCATTTCCTTTCCCAGAAGTGCCAGCAGCCCCCTCCTCCCTCACACTTACGCTCCATAAACCTGTCGAGGAGCTGGGAATGTGGAGGCCCTTCCAGCCTCGGGCAGCTTCCGCAGGGGGGGGTTGCTGATCATCACCTTGATCACGTGGTCCTTCACTGTCAGACCATCCATCTTCAGCACAGCCTGGGAGGCCTGGGCTTCATTTTCATATTCCACATAGGCCAGGCCCTAAATAAGGAAAGGAAATTATTTTTAGTGCTTCTGTATCTCCAGTATTTTACAAGTAATTTGGCCAATTGGAAGGAAATCATACAGAAAGCAAAGCTAAACATGGCTCAGAGTCCCAGTATTCTTCTAAAAAGAATTCTTTTTACAACCCGAATTTCTTCACTCTCATTCATGATGCCCTAATTTGTGGAAGGAAGAAAAAAAAAAGAAATCCTATTAAAATAAATATAATGAGGGATACTGGCTGGGAGGCATCACCTCTCACTGCTGTTATGCTTTCAAATGACATTCAAGCCCTTAAGCTGCATTTTCAGATTATCCAGTTTCACAGGAAATACATCAGCTTTTACATAACATTCCCTAAGTACATTTATGTGTGGTTTAGCCCCAATCCCAGCTCAAACTAAGCTCAGAACATGGATGGCAAGACTTGGGGTACGTGAGAGCACTCGTTACAAGGTGTGCATGAAACGGGAACTGCCCCTGAGATGGTGCCAAGGGCTAGAAAATCCAATTTAATACATGCACAGCACCCCCAGGATGGCACCTGTGAGCAGGGCCCACCACAGACATGGCCCAGGTGTCAGGTAGAATTTTGGCACAGCAACAGCTGGTTTAGAATCACTTATTTAACAAGGAGTCATTTATTCCAGGATGGAAATAATGAGCCCTGTGAGAGAGAGGTGGCTCATTTCTCACTGGCAAATCTCTTTCTGCAGCAGATGTTGGGAACAAAAGTCTTCAGGAACAGAGGAAAGGGAGGATGGGAATTGGTTGAACACCATCTACTCAGTTACTCTAAAAATAAAGCCTTTGCAGACTTGCAAATACCTGTTTTTACTGTAGTGAAAGTGCTGTAAACGTTTTCCCCTCCATCCCATTTTTCTTGTGCCATTTAAGTATTTTGAAAAAATTCCACTTTCCCTCTTTAGTTAGTTATCAGCACAGACACCCCGGGCTGTATAAGTCCAAGCATTTCCCCAAGTTTTAACGCAAAGCCACACTGGCAACTTAATAAAACCAACTTTTTGTATCCACACTTCACAACAAGCTTCTTTTAGAAGGATTTCTTGAAAATAAGAGTGTATTAAGGATGCCTACCTTGGGTTTTCCAGCTCTGTTGGTGACCAGCCGAATGTCTTTCACATTCCCATGCGCTTTACACACCTCTTCCAGCTCTTCCTTAGTGCAGGAAAATGGCAAACCAGATATAAACAGTTTGTGTTTCTCCAGGGTAGTGCTATACCTGAAAACCTGGAGAAACAAAAAGGATGTTAGTTATAAACCAGTCAGAGACTCCACAGATTTCAATCTTACATCCCCTAAAAGTTATCAGAGTACTTGATATCTCTGTGATCCAAAACTACCTTAAAATCACGAGTGGCATCTTGGAAGATATTTCCATATAAACACAGGGATACTCCAAGGACTTGCAAGTAAATGCTTCTAAACATCCACGTCTCCTTCACAATGAGGATGGTCACAGATAATCCTAGAATATCCTCAGTGGGAAGGGATCCACAACTAACCAAATTAGCAGATTTCTGCAAGTCTTGAATAAATTGATGCCAGTCCTTGTTTATGGCAAAGTAAGGGAAGATGCAAGAAATCCCCAAAAAAACAGTTTGACCATTCCAAAGTAGCACAACACGAGCTCATGGGATGTGAGCACTCTGGACACAACACACTCCAGCAGCTCCCCTCTGCAGACCCACCATGCAACCTGAGCCAGTAAAACTTTACCTTAAAGTCTGGATTCTTGTTCTTGTCCACACATGGGGACACAAACATGGGCCTTCCCTCCACAGCCATGCGATCCAGGCCCAGGGCCTGCAGAGCAGATTCCTCCTCCTTGAACTGCACGTAGCAGTAGCCCCGGAAGGTGCCCTTGTTGCTGAACACTGGTCTGATCTCTGCCACCTCCCCACAGCTCCCAAACAGCTCCCTCAGCTTCGCCTCAGGTTCAGCCATGGTGTAGGCAAGGTTGCTGACAAACACAGTGACTTTATCCTTGCTGCTGTCATGGAGCACTTTGGGGATGTCCTTCCGACTGGTTGATGCCCTTTCCTTGGGGTTTGCTGGCCCATCTGGCTTTGCAGGGGCACTTCTCCCAAACAGCCCAGTCTCCACTTCCATGTCTTCCTCAGGAAGCACACCATCACCCTCTCCCCTGTGCCTCTTGCTGGGTAGCTCTAAATAATGAAATTAAAAACCTTATTAGAAAAAATTACCTCATTTCATTCACTTTTGAAACTAATATGTCCTCCATTCCCACTGTGGAGCTTGGAAATGTCATTGTATTTGTGGTTTCACAAAAGACACAAAATAAAAAGGTTTTAAATAACAACGACAGATTATTCCACCAAGACAGCTTTAGATGAAAGCAACAGGAATATTTGTTCCTTTTGTCA